CCCCCCTTCCCCTTTTCCTCCCTCACCCCCTCACCAAGGCTGGCGGAGCTTTTACAGTTTGGAGGGGGGAAAATCCTCCCGATTCCCTGGGAATATCCCCAGGGATTCATCCCAAACCCTCTCTCCTGCTTGTAGGGGACAAATTCCCAGGAAACTGGGAAGGATTCATCCCCCACAAGCAGGAGAGAAGGTTCGGGCTGAGTCCCTGGTGCCAGCCAGAAGCTTCCCAATAAAATCCCAGCTGGAATGTTCCTGCCCAGCTTGGGCTGATGTGGGACAGCTGGAGCCCCATCCTTGGGTTTTTTTGGGATTTTTGGGGTTTTGTCTGCAGACCAAACCCAAGGTCCCTTCCGGGGGTTGGGATTGGTGGCTCCTGATCCCAGATTTTGGGCTGGGATCAGAAGGGGAGGCATCCAATGGGATCCAAGGGTGGGGTCCGATGGGATCAGAGAGGTGGGATCTGATGGGATCAAAAGGTTGGGATATCGGGATCCAAAGGGTTGGGATCTGACAGGATCCAAGGGTGGGATCTCACAGCCCTTCCATCCCCACAGGGATTTGGGAAGAGGACTGGGAAGTGGATCTGAGCCTGGGATGGGGAGATCCAGGCCCAGGACTACTTGGGGGAGGATCCCCTCCCAGCATTCCAGAGGGATGTAATGGTTTTTCCCAATCCCGAGCCCAACACCTCGCCTTCCCAGGGATTTTGGGGGATGTCCCACAATCCCTTGGCTGCCGGTCCCATCCCGAGCACCTCTGTCCAGGCATTTTGGGATCCAAAGTTTTTCCAAGGAATTCTGGATTGGTTTGGATGGGAATCCTTATTCCCATTCCCATGGGCACACTTCCCACTATCCCAGGTTGCTCCAAGACCCAAAGCCCAGCCTGGCTTGGGACACTTCCAGGGATGGATTTTCCAGCTGATTTTCCAGGCTGGATCCGACCTGGACCTGTCCAGGACCTAAAATTCCCTGGCCCTATTCCAAATCATCCCAAAGGCCTTTCCTGGAATCCATCCATGGAAAAAACAGCCAAATCACCAAATCCCAGCTCCCAAAACTCCCCAAATCCCAGCTCCCAAAATCCCCAAAAAAGTGCTCCCAAAGTCCCCCAAACTCAGTCCCAAAATCCCCCACACTGATTCCCAAAATTCTCAGAACCCAACTCCAAAAATTCCCCAAAACCCAGCTCCTAAATAATTCCCAACCCTCTCCCAAAAGTGCCGGTTTTTGGCATAATAAAACCCTGGACCTTCCCGAGCATTCCTGGTTAATTCCCTATTGTTCCCAGCCAATCCCAATTATTAAGGAATTTATTCCCATCGGGATCATAGTAGGGAAAAGGCTGGGAGGGAACTCCTTGGGGTGCTGTCCTGTGGATCCCAATAATTCCAGATGGGATGGGCTCTTCCCATGGGAATTTTTGGGGGGTTTTGAACGGAGATTTGGGGATTTCTCCATCCAAGGATTTTAATCATCATTTTCCGCAACACAGAACACCCGGGAAAAATTCTGGGCACAAACGGATGGGAAGGAAGGAGGGAGACTGGGAAAAGCAGGATGTGACAAATCCAGGACATTTTGGTGGCCCTGAGGGACCCAAATCCATGATCCTATCTCAGCTTGGGACATTCCAAAGATTCCATGGGGACATCTCAATTTCACAAATCCAGGACACTTTGGATTTGGGATCCCAATCCATGATCCCACCTCAGCTCAGATCCACCAACCTGGGACATTCCAAAGATTCCATGGTGGCTCCATGGGGACACCTCAATGTGACAAATCCAGGACATTTTGGTGACCCTGAGGGACCCAAGTCCATGATCCTATCTCAGCTTGGGACATTCCAAACATTCAATGTTTCCAAACAAACGTTGGGACACCCCAATGTCACAAATCCAAGATTTTGGTGGCCGTGAGCAGAGATGGACACTGGGATGGACATTCCAAACATTCCATGGGGACATCTCAATGTCACAAATCCAGGACATTTTGGTGGCCCTGAGGAGACCCCAATCCATGATCCCACCTCAGCTCAGGAAATTCCAAACATTCCATGGGGACACCCCAACGTCACAAATCCAGGACATTTTGGTGACCCTGAGGGATCCAAATCCATGATCCCATCTCAGCTCAGAGCCACCAACCTGGGACATTCCAAAGATTCCATGGGGACACCCCAATGTCACAGATCCAAGATTTTGGTGGCCTTGAACAGAGATGGACACTGGGATGGACATTCCAAACATACCATGGCGACATCTCAATTTCACAAATCCAGGACATTGTGGTGACCCTGAGGGATCCAAATCCATGATCCCATCTCAGCTTGGGACATTCCAAACATTCCATGGAGACACCTCAACGTCACAAATCCAGGACAGTTTGGTGACCCTGAGGGATCCAAATCCATGATCCCATCTCAGCTTGGGACATTCCAAACATTCCATGGAGACACCTCAACGTCACAAATCCAGGACAGTTTGGTGACCCTGAGGGATCCAAATCCATGATCCCATCTCAGCTTGGGACATTCCAAACATTCCATGGGGACATCCCAATGTCACAAATCCAGGATTTTGGTGGCCTTGAGCAGAGATGGACACTGGGATGGACATTCCAAACATTCCATGGGGACATCTCAATGTCACAAATCCAGGACACTTTGGTGGCCCTGAGGGGACCCCAATCCATGATCCCACCCCATGAATTCCCAAAACCCAAATTCCACACTTTTCCGGAGCTCTGGCTTTTGGAATTCTGGGTTATCCTGGTGGGAGTGGCGAGGTTTAGGACAGGAACCTGAATTTTATGAGGTTTCAGATAAATTTTGGAATAAAAAAAGGGGGAAATTTGGGATCAATAAAGAGTAGAATTTGGCTCAAAAATGGGTGAAATTTGGGTCATAAAAGGGGGAAATTTGGGATCAATAAAAGGAGGAAAATTGGATCAATAAAAGGGAGAAATGTGGATCAATAAGAGGGAAAAATAGGGACAAAAAGAAGGGGAAAATTTGGGTCATGAAAGGGAAAATTTGGCCAAAAAGGAGGAAATTTTGGCTTGAAAAAGAGGAAATTTTGGATCAGTGAAAGGGGGAAATTTGGATTGATAAAGGGAAAACCTGGAATCAATAAAAGGAGGAAACTTGGATCAAAAATGGGGCAAATTTTGGCTCAAAAAAAGGGGAAAATTGGAATCAATAAAAGGGGGGAAATGGGTCAATAAAATGGGTAATTTTGACTTGAAAAAAGGAGGAAACTGGAAAAAAAAAGGGGAGAAATTTGGGTCAAAAAAGGGGAATAATTGGCTCAAAAGAGGGAAAATTTTGATTCATAAAAGGGGAAATTGGACTTTAAAAAGGGGGAAATTTGCCCCAAAAAAGAGGAAATTTGGAATAGAAAAAGGGGGAAATTTGGGTGAATAAAAGGGGAAAATTTGGATCAATAAAGCAGAAAAATGGGGGGAAATTTGGGATTGCTTCTTTTCCTCTTTTTTTTTTTTTTTTTTTTTTTTTTTTTGGGAAAATCCAGCTCATCCAGAATCCCCCTGGTGCTGCCACTGCTGCCCCGTCCAGAGCTGGGAATGGGGAAATTTGGGACGGGACTTTTCCAACATTATCCCAGGGATTTTCCTGCCTCGGGATTTGGCAGATCACACCCAAATTTCCTCCTCCCGAACTGGGAATGGGGAAATTTGGGACAGACATTCCCAGCCTTATCCCGGGAGATTTTCCTGCCTCGGGATTTTGTGATTTCCTCCTCAAATTTTGGCACCTCAGCCGGATCCTTCCTGGGATCTCTCTGCCATCCCAGCCCAGCCCAGGAATGGGGGAAAATTTGGGACAGGACACTCCCAGCGTTATCCCGGGGGTTTTCCTGCCTCGGGATTTTGCCCAGATTTCCTCCTCTCTTCGGCAACCTCAGCTCGGGGAGATCCCCACGGGTTCCGCCGCTGCCGCCACATCCCGAGCCGGGAACGGGGCAAAACCGGGACCCTCTGGGGATTATCCCGGGGTTTTCCTACCTCGCGGAGCTCCTTGGCCACCTCCTTGAGCTCTCGCAGGATTCCCTCGAGCTGCCCGATCACCATCCTCATGCGGCCGCGGATGCGCTCCCTCTCGCCCTCGCTACGGCCGCTGCCGGTGCCGGTGCCGGTGCTGCCGGTGCCGCTGCCGGGCCGCTCCGTGCGCTGGGCATCCCGGCGGCTCTGCGAGTCCATCGTTCCCTACGCGGCCGGGATCGCCGGGCCGGTGTCCATCCCGCTGCTCCCCGCCCGGCCCGGCCCGGGCAGCTCTCACCATCTTAACGCCGCCGCGGCTGCCCGGGGGGATCGGGGCGCACCATGCGGGGGGACTCGGGTGCTGGCCCTGGGGTGACACCGCCAGCAGCAGCAGCAGGAGGAGGAGGTGGAGGAGGAGGAGGAGGAGGAGAGGCTGGGATTTGCCAGGAAGGGGACTTGGCGCGGCTCGGTGTCTCCAAGGAGGGGTGGCGGGTCCGGCGTTGGCCGCGGGTGGTCAGCGGGGGTGTCCGGCTGTCCTGGGTGGCGCGGGGGGTGGGGGTCCCTCCTCCTGCGGGGACAGAGGGAATGGGAAAGAGCCGGGAAAATCCTCGGGAAGGGCTCTGGGCGCTCCCCTGGTGTCGCGGTGTTCGCCCCGGGCTGAGGAGGGGACAGGATGGGGCCTGGGAATGTCGCTGTCACCCCCTTCAGTCCCCCACTGTCCGAACCTGGGCACGGAGAGGCCTCCCGGGACACCCAGGGGGACACCCAGGGGTACAGGGGGATAGGGGGACACTCCAGGGACACGGGCACAGCTCTGCACTCACCGGCGCTCTCCGGCCTCTCCCGGGCTTCGCTCCCAGCTCTTCCCTGTCCTGTTTCTCCCCGGCTCCTTCCCTCGCTTCCTCCTCCTCCTCTTCCTCCTCCTCCTCTTCGCCGCCCGCTCCCGCCTCCCTCAGGGCTTTTCCAAGGGAGCCGGGGCCGCTCCGCTCCGCTCGCTGCGGCGGGGGGACCCGCGTTACCGGCGAGGGGACCCCCGTTACCGGGGCCCCTCCCGGAGCCCCTCCCGCCGTCATTCCCCCTTCCCGGAACACTCCCGATCCCGGCCCCGCCCCGGCCGCGGCGGGGGGAGAACGCTCCGTGCCCCCGAGTGCCCCCTCGGGAACGCCGGTTCGGGGGTGCGCACTGGGAAGGGGGGCTCGCTAGGGCCGCGTTTCCCTCGCCGGTACCGGCATCCTCCATTCTCAGTATCCCTCAGCCCCGGTGCCGCCATCCCTCATTCCCGGTCCCCGCGCCCTCCGGGGATGGAGGCTGTCGCTATCCGCAGCTTCCAGCCCCGCTCTCCGAATCCTCCATCTCCACATCCTCCATCCCCGGTTCCCGAATTCCCAATTCCCGGCTCCCTCATCCTCCATCCACGCCGCTCCCCGCATCTTCCATCCCTGAATCCTCCATCCCCGGTTCCCGCATCCTCCATCCCTGCTCCCGCATTTTTCCATTCCCAAATCCTCCATCCCCTATTCTCGAATCCTCCAGCCCCGCCGCTCTCCTTCTCCATTCCCTCTCCCCGGGTTTTCCATTCCCGCTCCCCGGATTTTCCATCCCCGGAGCCTTCATTCCCTATCTCCGCATCCTCCGTCTCCGGAGCCCGGATCCTCCAATCCCGGAGCCTCCATTCCCGATTCCCGCTCTCCGCATCCTCCATCCCCCATTGCCACATCCCCTCTCGCCGTGTCCCCTCTCCGGGACCCTCGGGACGCGCTGTGGGCTCGGCACGGCCGGGCTGGCCCCGTTCTGCGGCCGGGCGGAGCCCCTCCGTGTCCCGCAGCCCCGGGCCCCCATCCCCGGACCCCTGTCCCTCTCCCGGTGTCCCCATCCCCGGTCCCGCAGCCCCTGAACCCCCCGGGCCCCTTTCCCTGTCTTGGTGTCCCCATCCCCGGTCCTGCACACCCATGCCCCTTTACCCTCCCCCGGTGTCCCCATTCCGGTCCCACAACCCCGGAGTCCCCAGGCCCTTTTCCCTGCCCCGGGCCCCCATTCCCAGTCCCGCAGCCCGGTCCAGGAGCCCGGTCCCGCAGTCCGGTCCCGGAGCCCCCATTCCCGATCCCGCAGCCCCATTCCCGATCCCGCAGCCCCATTCCCGATCCCGCAGCCCCATTCCCGATCCTGCAGCCCCATTCCGCATCCCGCAGCCCCTTTCCCGCTCCCGGCCCCCCCATTCCCGGTGCCGCAGCCCGGTCCCGGAGCCCCCCGGACGCACCGGCGGCGCTGCGGGCTCAGGGCCGGGCTCTCCGCGGGCTCCGGGCGGGCGGAGCGGGCCCCGGGCAGGGCCATGAGCGGCGGAGGGCCCGGCCCGGCCCCGCTCCGGCCGCAGCCTCCCCGCGCTGCCCGGCCCCGGCGGCGCTGCTGTGTCACCGGAGGGGCCGGGCCTGAGCCGGGAAACGGGAATTAAAGGCACCGGGAGCCGGGAATGGAGAGGGGATGGAGCGGGAATGGGAATGGAGAAGGGATGGAGCGGGAATGGAACGGGAATGGAGCGAGAACAGAGCAGGGAATGGAGCGCGAATAGAGAGGGAATGGAGCAGGGAATGGAGAGGGAATGGAGCAGGGAATGGGAATGGAGCAGGGATGGAGAGGGAATGGGAATGGAGAGGGAATGGAACGGGAATGGGAATGGAGTGGGGATAGAGCAGGAATGGATTGGGAATGGAGTGGGGAATGGGAATGGAGAGGGGATGGAGTGGGAATGGATTGGGAATGGAGAGGGAACAGAGCGAGAATGGAAATGGAGCGGGAATGGAGCAGGAATGGAGAAAGAATGGAGAAAGAATGGAGCAGGAATGGGAATGGAGCAGGAATGGAGCAAGGAATGGCGAGGGAATGGATCGAGGCTGGAGCAGGATTAGGATTTTGGGAAACCGGGGCAGGGCTGGGGACATTCCCTCAGGATGAGTCTCCCTTTTCCAGCTTTTTCCCCTCCTCCACAGATGCTCCCCCCGCCTCCTCTCCAGGGGGATTTGGGGATAATTTTTGTGGGATCCAGGAAAAACCTGGGATGGGAGAGAGGCATCCCAGGAAAGAGAAACATCCATGGATGGATGGATGGACGGCTGTAATCCCTGGATGGATCCATGGATCCATGGATGGCACAAATCCATTTCCGTAGCCAGGCCGGGTTTATCCCATGATTTCCCCATTCCCGTTTTCCCCCTCTCCTGCTCCCATCCCTTTTCCCGGCGTTGCTTTAGGAATTGATGGATGGAGCTGTGAATTATTGATCGCATCCCATCGGGATCATCAACAGCGTTCCAGCAGAGCCCCAACGGCCCCGAAAACACCCGGAGAGGCTTCCGCTCCTCCCGGAACAACGGGGTTTTCCCGGCACGGAAGGGAAATTTGGGACAGTGGGATTTTTGTGGAGTTTTGAGACCCCTTTTCCCAGGATTTGGGGTTTTTGGGAGCTGTTCTGCCCCCCTGGAAGTGCCAGCCCCGTTTTTTGGGATGGATGAGTTTTGGGGCAGGATTGGGGCAGGGAAAAGCTGATCCTGATCCCACAGCCCAGTGACTCCGGGAATAACATCCTGGATCCTTTGGGATCACTGATGGATCGGGAATAACATCCTGGATCCTTTGGGATCACTGATGGATTGGGAATAACATCCTGGATCCTTTGGGAACACTGATGGATCGGGAATAACATCCTGGATCCTTTGGGATCACTGATGGATCGGGAATAATGTCCTGGATCCTTTGGGATCACTGATGGATCGGGAATAAAATCCTGGATCCTTTGGGATCCCTGATGGATCGGGAATAATGTCCTGGATCCTTTGGGAACACT